TCTCTCTGAAAGCTGTCCAGGGAGCGGTTGTAGGCAATGTTTTCTGTCAACATTCTTATCAACTGGTCACAGATTTTGCTGGGATTTATCAGTGAAGCCTTCAATAATAAAGTTGAAATAGTTCTTCTCCCCATTCCAGAGTGAAGGTTCAGTATCCAGGAAGTGAAAACAGAATAGTTTGTGACTACTACTCAAGCACCAGCTACTTAGGATGTTATCTACCAAATCCTGGGAAGTGAAACTGGTGAATTTTTCATGCAGTAGCAAGTTAGTTGATAGGGACCACCTTGCTGGACCACCTTTGTAACTAACAAAATTCATTTATAGGTAGTGCAGTCTCTAGGCTTCTAGAAAGCTCCTGTGCATTCCTACTGGCTTTTTTTTAAAAGCAGACACGATGCATTGCTTAGTAGAACAGATGTCTTAATCACCATCTCCACTGTATTACTGCCATTGCAGGTATACGTCTCAACCAATTACTGTGCAAGAACAAACCACACGGGTCCAAGATGTCAATCAGCTGTCAGGACCTCATCAGGTCCCTGCTCTTCCAATCTCTCCTACATGCAATGATGAACTGCAGGAGATGAAGCAGATGATCATTTTCTTATAGGAACAAACCTGTACTGTGCTATGTAGGCAAGGTATGGAAGAACCCCTCCCCACCCCCCGCAAAAAAAAAGTGAAGGAATGCAGGTAGCAGGTATTATTACTGATAACTGTATTCTCTTCCTAGCCTTAAAGTTTTTCATAGTGCCCTTTAGTTCTATTTTGTTCTGGTTTGGTTGGGTTGAAATAGCAGCTTGATTTACATATATTTTTTAAATACTTAGTTGTTATTCATGATTGTCTGGTCTGACCACAGCCATGTCAAGTCATTCATGTTTTGAAGTTTAAACAACGCTCTGTTGGTACTGCTCAGTTGTAATGCAGGCAAGATACAGCTTTGCAAAAAGATTTTTCTGAAATATAATCATAGAGGTTGTAATCTGTAAAATCCATAATGTTGATACTCAATTACTCCAAAATGGCTAGAACAGAAAGCCACAATCAAATAAACATGCAACTCAGCAGATAAATCAACACTTCAGTGATCCTCCCCTTACTACCCATCAGGGACAAAACAACTCACCTGTAGTAGTGTGATATAATCAATTTCTAGAGAGCCAATACAACCATCTTCTGCACAGGTATAGGCTCCTTCACTATGCACTTTGGTACTGAAGGTTCGGAACAACTTCCTTGCAGAGATCCATGAACATTCACTTCCGCACATCAAATTTCTGCAGTCATTACTGGTCACCCCATCTCAGGATCCCATGACTGTGTGTTAGTTCCTTTGTTCCACAAATAAGGATGTAAGTTTGGTGTCAGAGCAGCATGCAGAACATGGGCCACATCTTTTAAGCAAGTTCCAGATCTGTTTTTCTCTAATTGTTTGTTGCCACCCACATTCTGAACTCAAGTGAATCACCAAACTTCTTCTAGTGACTGCAAAACTCCCCTGGATCAGAGCTATGAGGAACCCCTGCCCTACCATCATGGTTGCTTCACTCTGCTCAATTAAATTGAGCAGCGTGCTGTTCAGTAGGGGTGTGCGAAATGGGCTGTATTTGATTCAGATTCGGCCTGAATCAGGGACAGTAATTCAATTAGTTGATTTGGATCACTGTCCCTGATTTGATTCGGCTGAATCTGAAGATTCAATGCTGATTCAGAGAATCAGCGATTTGGCCACAGACACAGCCTTAAGTTTTTTCTACATACCTCGAGGTACCAGGCTCAGTTTGTGAATGCTGTGATGCTGGGGTGGACAGAGCATCCTAGAGGAGCTGGGTGTGGGGGGAGGCTGAGTGCTCGATGGCACTCTGGTATTTCTGGTCCACTTCCGGGTCCGTCGCTGAGCATGCTGGGGGCCCCCCCGCACCCCCCTGGCTCAGCAGTCAGCTGCAGGGGGACCCCAGGTGCCCCCCCCAGACCCAGGAGGCACCAGTTGCTGAGCTGGGGAGCACAGAGGGCGGGGGGGAGGCGGTGTGTGCTCCCCGGCAGACCTGGAAGTGGACCGGAATTGCTTCTTGTCCACATCCAGGTCTACTGCCAAGTGCGCTGGGGAGTCCCTTGCGTTCCTGTGGGATGCTCCATCTGCCCCACCATTGCAGCATTCACGAGCCACCTGCTCCCTTGAGGTATGTAGAAAGAACATTTAAAGCTGTGTCTATATCCGAATCGCTGAATCTTTCTGAATCGATTCGGAGGGTTTCAATTCGATTCGGAGGGATTAAAGGGTCTCCTGATTCGATAAGGTTTCAGAAATTCGGCCACTGAATTGGATCAAATCTTTGCCGAATCGAATCAGGGACTGAAGCTTCTCACAGCCCTGCTATTCAGTCTCTGTGCCATTCAGGCTGCAGTGTTAGATCTATTGAGGAAAGATTCCTAGGAAAGCTCTACTCCACAGTATAAGGAAACTTGGGATACAACAGGAAGAGTGGGCAGGAAAGGGGTGAATCTTTTGGCATGAGTATTACGTAGCTCTACTCAGTATTATTATTCCATCTTTTTCTTGATTTACTGCGATCCTGAATGCCATAGGAAGAGCCTTCCAACAGCTGCTTAGTTGATCAGAGTGCCATCATTCTAACCGAAGACCTTGCCCACTGAAAACATTAGGATTTTACTATTTTTACTATAATAGACTCTTCAAAGACTTTGTGCCATTCCTTATTAGGCCTTCTACATGTATCACTCTCCTTTACTGGCCCCAGAATTTGTCATACTTTATTTTCAAAGGGATAAGTAATTTTTCTTTCTTCTTTCTTTGTAAGTCTCTGGATACTACACAATATAAAGCAGTAGGTGTCATATAATGGTCTCATGTGTCTGAAGATTGACTTTTCTTAATATTAATTTGAAGCTAAAAGTTCACTAGAGAAAAAAGTAGCAAGCATTTCTCATCTGTGTATGTGCCTTAAATTTTCTCTCTCATCAAACTATTTACTAAATTAATGCTTCTAAATATATACATTAACTTGTTGAGGTCAGTTATCAATGACTGGATAACCTCATCCAAACACATCACCTTTATATTGGATTTGGCTTTATCCTGCTTGGTAAGCCCCATTTTTCTTCCCACTTCCTTCAGTTTCTGACCATTAATCCATACCTTCTCTGTATTACAACTATCTAGCCAAATCTATTGGTGTACCCTGGAAGTTGTAGGTCAATTAAATTCACCACATCCTGAGAATTTTGCGATGCCCTGCCTTTTTTTTCATAGCCATATTAAACAGCAACATGCATTTATTCTATATGACTGTCAAATATGGCAGAGATTTCATTCTCTGAAAGTTTTTAGATTTCATTTTATTCCCCCTTTTTCAAAACTGGGTATGGGTTAATTGCATCTTAAATACTAATGAGACTATGCATGCTAAGTCAATTAAGGCATGATGATGCAGTAAACAAGCCACAAAGTTATTCCCCATAATGTACAACTTGTGGCACATTTGTATTAGGGCTTAAACTGGATGCGTGTCCAGAACCCATGTCAAAATTCCGTGTGCCACCCAGTTGGGTGGCATGAAGTTTGATGACTCCCCACACACAGGGGGCCCAGCATTGGTCTACAGTCTGGTGCTGGGCTCCCAGTACTGAGTGGTGTATGAGGCTTGATAGCTTGACGTGCATAGGAAGTCTAGCACCAGGCTGCTGCAGGCTCTCTGTGTGTGGGGAGCCCATCAAGCCCTGTGTGTAGCTGGACAGCATATGGGTGTATGGAGAGGCTGGCATTAGACTGAAGCAGCTTAGTGTCAGGCTCCCTGTGTGCCCAGCTGATTGTCAACTGGGACCAGGGACTGGTTTGGTTTCCAGCCCCGACTGACAGTCAGCCACTTAGTTTCATCTTGCTGGTGCAGGAGAAGCCCAGGTTTATGAACCAAGACTTCACCTGCACCAGCAAGTTAGGCATGATCAAGATCTAATCCCTGATCTTAGGATGGGCTACAGGCTTCTTTTAAATCTTCCTTGCGCTATTTTTAAAGATTCTCTTGTCCTAATTATATTTTGTTTGTTAAAATAGTCCATCTCTGGTGGTAAGTGGGACAGGGATACTACCTCATGCCACATATTACACTTATCTAAGGAATCATGCTACAGAAAGGATCTGAGGGCACTCCAGGGTGCTGCTGCATCACCCTGGTTGAGAATCACTGTTCTAGCAGACGAAAGAAAATAAACCAAATTAACTTTCTTTAAGTTGGACACTGCAACCACTGTCAGAAAATTTGGAGAAGAGAATATAAAAATGATAGATGTAATAGTGTAGCTGGTAACATTTCTTGGGGTCTTTAAACATAGCAGATTCTCAATTGAATTTGATCATACTGCTTTGGCTAGTTGTAAAAGCACTTCTAATACTGATAGAATGATCTTGCAGTGAGGATGGGTTCTGAGGATGTCAAACAGAATATCAAACAGTGTCTCTTCCATAGAAGCTGATGCTATCAATGTAGAAGTTATTATAGGTACCAGATTCTGAAACTGTATGGTAGTTTTGGACTCCTGAAACATCTTTCTCCAGAGAACTGAACACAGAACTGGAAGTGACCTCAGGGATCATCGACTACAGTCTACCAGTATCACTTTATCCATTTATCAAGTGCCATCTTTAAAAATAGTTATTTTTTTGCTTCCATTATTTGGATTGGAAGGCTGTTCAAAAGGCTCACTGCTCTAAATAGTTAGGAATCTTATTTCAATTTCTAGCCTAAATTTGCTCATGGCTTTTTTTATACCCATATGTCATTGTGCCAGTTTCATCCTTTAGGTTTAGTGGTTCTTTTTCTTTTTTTCCTTATGAGGTGATCTTTCTCTCCCATTGCTGTCCCATGGGCAGCACACATATCCCCTCTTCAGCCTTCATTTTGTCAGATTTGTTAAAATTAAATGAATCAGACTATCACTCAATTCTTTACACCTTTGCTTAACAGAACACATTGCACTTATCACTTTCAATTCACTTTTATTATAAATATTTACACAATTGGAAAGGCAACTGCTATGACACTTTAATCATTTTGTAAGTTAATGTTCAGGAACAATCTTTAATAAATGTAACAGGTAACCTACCTCTTTGTAATATAAAAATGTTGAAAAGTATCATGGTACTATAACTGGGTGGTTTGTGGTGGCACCTAAAAGCAAGTGTAGCCACTAACAGTCGGAAGGCACAAATATGGGAATATTTATACAGCAGCAGAAAATATGTATTTATATAATCAATTTAAGTGACTTTCCTGCCAGAGCTTTGTTCTTGCTTTAAAACAGGGATTGGCAACTTACAGCCTACGAGCAGGATCCAGCCCATAAAGCATTTTATCCCGCTCATGAAGCTTAGATATTGACAGCAATTTCAGTTGGAGGGCAAGCGGGTAGGACAAAACTTCTGAAGTGGAAATAGGGGGGAGAACTAACATGCACAGCAGTGGCCAGGAGAAGTGGCTGTGGTGGTTATGGGAATGGTTGGGTCAGAAGTGTTGAGTCAAGGCTGGTGAACAGTGTTATTTGGCCTGTTACCCCCGCAAAGGTTGCCGACCCCTACTTTAGATGCATGAAAACAAAGATCTTATTCTATTTTTTTGGTTATAACCGAGTTTCCCTAAAAGTTTCAGTAGTCAGCAGACTGATTAAATAACCTTATGTGAGTGGTAATACTGAAATAACATTACTTGAATCACAGCAATATTCACAGTTACAAGCAGCTGTCAGAGGATTCATATACTGGAGGCTAGTACTGTAGAACTATCTGAATTAAATCAGTATCAGAAAAGATTTAATTCTTGTAAGCTTGTGTTATTTAGTGAAGGAGAAAGAACACAACAAATCCCATTTTTCCAGATATACAAAAAAGGAAAAAAGCAAAACTCCCAGTACTGTCATATGTTAGATTTCGCATCTCATGATTTACAAGCATCATCAAAACCCCAAATTTGATCAGATATTAACTTTTATTCTAGTTTTTCTAAGTATATTCAGTTCATAATTATCATCTTTGAAAGCAATGGAAATAAGGGATCAAAATATACAACAACTAAAATACAGACCTGAAGTCAACAAAAAAAAACCCTACCAAAAACCCCCTCTCATTTTCAAGATTCTCAAAACATGTCTGGAAGATTTAAAGAACAAAATCCATAATATAAATAAGTAATAATACACGTGACAGTTAGGAAAGAGCCTGAGTGAATACCGTCCATAGCATTATTAATCCTTTGGCCCTGAATTATTGATAGGTACAAATATAATACTTTAAATGGAAACAACTGCATAATATAGTTATTGAGGTAGATTATAAATCTTTTGTTGAGGTTTCCAGAGGAAACAAAGTAATTGATTGTATGTCACAAAATGGTCCATAGCGTCCACAAACATCTTTTGCCTGTATAGTAAAATAGTACTTCTTTAATACTGTGAACTGTGATAAAGAACAAGCCATTGGCAGGGGTAAAGCCTTTATTTCTCCTATTTTCTTCCATTGTGATACAGTTCTGTGATTAGAGCTTTCATGGAACAGGAACAAGTGATAGCTCTCTATAGGTGCACACTTGGGATCAATTTCTGTAACAGTCCATGAAAGTGCAATACCTGCTGGATATTGCACCTGAGCCAATTTTAGTTCAGGCTTCTGAGGAGGAGGAGTGTCTTTGAATTCATCCATAAGTTTTGGATATGGAGGTATCCTTGGAAATGGAGGAAGATGGGAAAACTCTTCAAGAGCCTAGGAAGCATAAAAATAAACACATAATAAAGAATGCTGTAGTTTCACATGTTCACAGTCCAACATTTCGTAGAAGGACTATGAGGATAAGAATACTATGGTAAAAACAAAGCTATTTTGTGAATTTGTTTTCTTTACTCTAAAAGGAACATCATTTCTCTCTGCTTTTTCATTCTGGTTATATGTTAATTAGACTTTTTTAAAGTGGCAATCTAAGAAGACTTACTGTAAACCAAGTATCTACAGGTGCAGATACTCAGTATCTACAGCGAACATTTGTAGGCTTCGCTAGAAAATGGATTAATACAACCATTCAGAGTCAACTCCATCAAAGGTTCTGGTAAAAGCACTGACCAAAGTAAGCATCACTGTGGATGGAACAAGCCATTTTCATAGATTGCTTACATAGACTAGAACATGTGGGAAAATTACTTCTCCCAACACTAATGGATAAGAGTGGATGATAAGACCAGCACAAGAAACCAGAACAAGGATGAATGCTCAAGGCCTAAGATGACACAGTAAACATGGCTTCCTACTTAATGGGAGGGAGTTGTATTATGTCTCCATGTAGACACTAGGATGTCATGATGTCACCAAACAATGTTTTAGTATTTGATGAGAACTAAAAGGTACACAACTTCTGTAAACAAGAAGTTGTATAAGAAGGCTGAGGGAATCCTTAATATTTTTGCCCCTTAAGTCTATTATACCTATCTATACCTTTCCACAAGTATCCTGGCTGACACATTATAATCTCTTGGCCATGTGTTGTAATGATTAGGTGCTTTGTAAGTAATAAACCCTGCCAAGCTTTTGTCTTTAAGTACTGAGCCTGCGGTCACTCCTGCAATAAGATCTTCAGGGGACATGCACCATCTGCAGCAGCACAGACAACATCTTAGCACCACACACAAACTGAGGGAGTCTAACAATATTATTTCATTATCACGTGTGCAGTATGTGTTGAAGATCCTAGTACTTTTTTGGTACCTTTGGCCAAACATTTGGGGTGCTGACAGACGTTAGCTACCCACTCCCCACCCCCAAACAAACAACCCCCAGTGCTC